CTTCGTTCTTGAGTGAACTAGCATACACCTAATTACACAACAATGGGGGTTGTGTGCTGAACGCCGGAGATGCGAGTGAACTTTTGGTAAAGATCAAATATTGGTTGTTATTGCATTGGAAGGCCAGTATATAGCGAAAAAAAAATTTGCTTGGAGAGTTGGATATTTATGAATAGATTATCCCTGAACTTAGTTACGTGTTTATTGATTCGTGCTGGAATTGAGCTTAATTCAGGACCTCTACCTCGTTCTCCGCAGCAAATGTCTCAAGCGGATATGCAAAAAAGAGAGCGGGACAGAACGCCCAAGGAAAATTCCAGGGAAACGGAAATGGAAAAGCAATTGGAAGTTCTAAGGAGCGAAGAATTTCGACAAGTGGAAGAAGAATATTTAAAAGTAGTTTCGAGGATACAAGAAATCCGAAAATACACGAATATTTTGAAAAGTTAAAATACACTAAACCAGAGGTAGAGGTATCGTCCCAATAAACGTTAAAATCCATATATGATTTAATTCAGGGAAATTTTTTACAACTTAATGCGGAATTACAGGGAATAAGGACAGAAGTTAAGTCATTGAAAGAGGAAAATAATTATTCTCGAGAATTAACAAGATTGCCACAGAGAGTAGAAGAAATGAAAGTTATACCTAAGAATCTAGTCAAATAAGATATGTTAGAATTTGAGTTGGAGAAATTGGTTAACGAGAGATAACAAAATAATTATAAATTTTCCGTTCGTTTCGTTGGATTATTCGAGGGAAGTTAATCAGTTTATAAAGGTAAAATTAAGAATTTCAAATAGCTCGACTGAAAGCTTAATTTGTTGATTAAAAATGAAAAAAACCAACAGTGAAAATTTCAGTAGACTCTGACTGATTATACTAGATACTTAATTTTAAAAGAGTATTGGAAAAAGAAAGTTAGTTTAGATGAGAAAATAAAAAAATAATATTTACAGCAGATTTGTGTAAAAGATCAAGGCTGAGGAAGCAAAAACTCAAACCAATAATTAAACAATAAAAATCAAAAAGAAATAAAACATTGCTAAGAGAAGAGATAAAAGATGATAAAATGTATACGTATGATATTAGTCTGGATAAGGTGGTTGGATTAAGTGATTTTTTTAAGAAAGAATTAATAACTACTTCAGAATTTACAACCAATGGATTGAAAGAGAGTTTAAACGAACGAAATGTTAAGGTTAAAAATGGAGTATATAGATCTAGACTTTAATAAAGTTAACGGAATAATAATAGTAACATAAAGAATAATCAATCCCCTCCTGAAAACAAAAATGTGTAACGATAGAACTAAAGTGACTATTGGATGATGGAATAATCAGAGATTACTGGAAAAATTTTATAAAGGAAATGTAAAAGATGATATAAAATATCACTCTATTATTGGTTTTTCAGAGACATGGATGCTCAAAATGAAAGATGAAGATAGATTATTAATATTCATGTTCTAAATATTAATATATGTAAGAGTATCTAAGAAAAAAAGCAGTTAATGCAGATGGAAAATCTTTAAGAGTAAACAAAACATTACTGGTTTCAGTTGAGAGTTGGTCTCAGTATTTAAAAAAATAAAAATAAAAAAATTTTTGGACAACTATTTATGTAAAAGTAGATCTAATGTTATATGTAATTATCAACCAACAGATAAAACATAAGAATAAGGAGCTGATGATAAACAATAAGTCGATTTATGAGTTATTTAATTGTAGTTATTATATATGTAATGATGTATGCTAAAAAATTCATATTTTTTGTTTATGCAAAGAAGCTCAAGAATTACATGATAATTATAACCTCCGTGCATTAGATAAAGTAACAAACGAAAAAGATATGTATATCTTTTTTCAGAAAGCAAAGGTCACAACTATATAAAATTTGTATAATAATTTATTGTATTGGAATAAGATATGTACGGATTAATTGTAAAAACAATTGCATTATCAAGGTGTTTATATGAAGATTGTATGGGATAATTATAACTCCCGTGCATTAGATAAAACAACAGATGAAAAGAGTGTGCATACCTTTTTACAGAGCAAAGGTTACAAATATGTAATTTGTATAATTAAGATATTGTATCTAAATTTAAATTACCATTGTCAAGAACAGTAAAGATGGTTTATGTTAATAATTATAATGAGAACGGTCAACTAATTTAACATTTAAGATGTTACAATATCAAAAGCGCTCAGCAACTAAATAAAGAGAAACAAAACACCTTTTTTGCCGAGAAATAAACATAATTTTAAACAACAAACGTTTTCAGCCTAATTAATAGGCCATCTTCAGGTTGAAAACTAAAATGGAACGTAAATGTTCCATGAATAGAACATAAAAATTTAAATCAAAAATTTTACAAGAGAAAAAATAACGGAAGAATATATAAAAATTAAAATAAAACAATAAAACAAAAATAACATAAATCTTCAATGTACTAATTCTGGTCGAAGTTTCTAGTAAATTTCTTAACCAAATATTTCCATGCCGAAGGTAGGCTCTCAGCATCCCTCGCATTTAAACAGCCTTCTCCTATCTTCTGTATATTTCTATTTTCTCCGTCGTCATTGCTAGAAATACCGTATACAGAAGTAAGATAGGAGAAGGCTGTTTAAATGCGAGGGATGCGGAGAGCCTGCCTTCGGCATGGAAATATTTGGTTAAGAAATTTACTAGAAACTTCGACCAGAATTAGTACATTGAAGATTTATGTTATTTTTGTTTTATTNATAATTTTACAACTACTATCCATCACCATCTGAAATGAAACTTGATCTTTATAAAGTGTTTTTATACTCCAGTCGGCTAAAAATAGTGGACCATGCCAAATTCAGCATGGGTATTGGTAATAAAAAAGTATGTTCTATACCCAGAGGACAAAAATATTTAAAAATAAAAAAACCCCATCATATAGTCAACGCTCTCGGCAAAATTCGCATTAATGCTAAACATAAAGTTAGTTCTTGGTCCAGGATTTATAAACAGTGTTTAGGATTGTTTTGAAATGTGTATATTGGACTATATTGATAAGTTCATTGTTGTACTAATAATGTCTGCACTACTCATTACATTATGTAATTTTGGAAGCCATTCGCAGTATCTGCATTTGTTTCTACAGGAAACTTATTGACTGTAAAAGTCTTGACTATATCTTAAGAAAGACAATCAATTAGTTTTATTTCTGTATTAGAACAGGGTTGAACACCAAAGTTCTATGATTTATACGTTTATTGCTCTAATCGTACTGTACATTTTGTTTCTCTTTTCATATTAACAGAGATTTTACGTTGTTATTGTAAGTTATATCTTTTTTATGCTTGCGCTATTTCTTTACATCTTCCCGTTGAAATCCCGAGTAATTATTGTTGCTATTTGTAATGAATATTTGAAAGCTAAATAAGAAAATCTTCTTTAACTTAATCTTATTTTAAAAGATTATATGTAATATAAAAATATCTTGAAACTTTTGCATTTGCAATTGTCGTAAGAAAGTATTAATTTCAATAAATATACGATTTGAATGTATTTTGGGAAGTTGTCTTCTTTTGATAATTTAATATTCTTTCCATTTTTCCACGAATATATTTTTTATAATAAATTCCTATTCCTACTTATAAATAATTAAAAATGCTGGACGGGGCAATGAAGATGCCAGCTTTCCGCCCTGGTGGATCAGATGCGACTCCTGTCGACGAAACCTAGTAATTCACATTGATAATCTTTCCAGAATATATGAGGTCTTGTTACTCACTACCAGTTTGAACCTGTAAAGGGCATGCAAAAACTCCTCTTAACGTCATCGAGTAGGAAACACGGGAAACTGAAAATATCAAAAAATTGATTAGCTTATCATTATTAGGTATAGTAAAATATATTACAACACAATTATTGTTTAGCTGTTGAGGATCCAGAATAAACTACTATGTTTGACATCGCTCCAGTTTTCATAAAGGTTGCTGAAATAGCTGACTTAATCTGTTGGCTTCCTGGAAATCACTAAACGATTTATAATTGTGTCCTGTATATAAAATCAGTCCGTAAATATACCAAACATTACATAAAATATATTGGAACATCCAGAAAGTTTTTAGATAAAACTTGAAGGAAACTTAGCATCGAGCTCGACAAAATTATCATCACTTACTTTAAATCAGCATGCTACATATCAACACGTAAAGATACAAAATTGGTCCATTAATTCATTTACATTGTACCATTTCTTTCTTAGCGACCGATTTCCGTTTCTACAACTTATTCATTAAACCAGGAACTTAATCGTTTTCATTGTTTTAGAAGAAGAAAAGGTCTAAAGGAAACTCTACCTTGGTAACTTCGTTTTAATTTACATTTTTTACTTATTATAGAATATGAAAATATAATCAGCAAAAATTATAAAAATGATCTATCAAAACAATTACGGCTCATTCATAAGAAAAACAGGTTATTTTGCTCATCGAATTATTAAAATGGGATGCACAGTGTAGTGCAAATACACTACTGGATATTAAAATTGCTACACCAGGAAGGAATGCAAATAACAGATTGATATTTATTAGACACACACATCATAGTGGGAAGAACAAGTAATTAAATATTCAGCAAATTTAGAGGTATAAATCTTGAGAAATCAATACCTAGAGCAGTCACCTCTGGCAGCAATAACAGCACTTATCCGCCTGGACGTGAGGTCGAACAGGGATTGGATAGCATGTATGGTACGGCAGTTCATGCAGCTTCAGCACTATGCCACAGGTTATCAAACGTGGTGACTGGCGAGTGGTGGCGTGCCAGTTGATCGTCAACCTTGGACCAGACATTTTCAATTGATGAGAAATCATGAGAACGTGCTGGCCAAGGGACAGTCGAACATGTTCTGTATCAAAAAAGGTCAGGACAATCAGGAACATGTGGTCGTGCATTGTCTTGCTGAAACGTAGCGTTACAGAGGCCTCGAAGATAGGGTAGAGCCACAGGCCTTAACACATCAGAAATGTAACGGCTGCTGTTCAAAGTGCATGAAATGCGAACAAGAGGTGATCAAGACGTGTATTTAATAGTACCCCATCACTCCAGGTGATGGGCCAGTATGATGATGTCGAATGCATGCTCCAGAGGTGTCCGTTCTCCACGATGCCGTCGGACACGGATTCGGCCATCGTGTTGCTCTAAACAGAAACGGGATTCGTCTGAAAAGACGATGTGACGCCATTCCTGCGTCCAGGTTTGTCATTGATCACACCATTGGAGAAGCTCCTACCTGTGATGCAGCATCAAGGATAGCCGAAGCCATGGTCGCCGTGCTGACAGTCCATACTGCTGCAAAAGTCTTCCAACTGTTCGTGCAGACACTTGTTGTCTTGCAAACGTCCCATTTCTTGACTAAGGGTTCGTGACGTGGCTGTATGATCCGTTAAGGCTATGCAGATAAGATGTCTGTCTTTTCGGCTATTGGTGATGGGGTCAGCTGAGATTCTGCACGGCGTTCTGTATGACTGTCCTGAACCCATTGATTTCATATTCTCCTTACAGTCATGGGATTACGACCAACGCGAGCAGCAATACTGCAGTACGATAAACCGCAATCCCGGTAGGCTACAATTCGATCTCGATCAAAATCAGACACGTGCTGGTAGGCATTTCTCCTTCTTACACGAGGCATAGCAACAAAGTCCTTACCAGAAAACAGCGTTGAAATGCAACATTTGTATAAGAAACTTGCTGTTCAATCTCTTCTTTTATACACATTGTAGGTGTCACTACCACTGCATGCTTTGCAGGAATGCGTTGAAAACCTAGTCACTTGCATATCACAGCTTGTTCTATCTGTCTTGCAAATTTAACGTATGTCGCGTGTTACCTTTTTGGTGTAGCAATTTTAATGGCAAGTAGTGTATATAAACGAAATATAGAGTTTTGTAGATTGGTTTATTGAATAGTGACCACTGCAGGAAATAGACGGCTTAACAAAAGAACGTCGCGTCGGCTGTGGTGTATAAACAAAGTAGTATACGTAAGGAAAATGATAATTGTATTGGTGAAACGAGGGGAAAGCAAAGTACGAGATTGGAGAAACACGTGACGTCAATTAGATTAGGTTATAGACAGTCCCTTTAGTTTTTGTATTGCATTGGACATGGTTGTAATATAACCAAAGAGAATGTTATAACATGTTCAGAAAACTCTACATAAAAAAAGCTGTTTTAAAAACAGTAAAATATTACAACATTTAAAGCCGATTAATTTAAAGTATGCGAATACATGCCATTTGGCAAAGTCTGCTGCGAAAGTATTGATATAAAAAGGTGCAATTGAAAGGCGGTCATAAAAAGTTCTTGTTAACGTCCTGGGGATTGTCATCGTCAATTGAAAAGAGTTAAGTAATCAAAATTGTACGTATTTTTCTCTACATTTTTTCGTATCAATGTATCTTATTATTTAATTTTTTTATTGTTTTTTAAAATTAATTCCTTGTCTTATTTTCCGTTTATTTTACACGTCTTTTAAAACAAAAAAGTCTCCATAAGAGGTTTCGAAGAGTATATTGTGATGTTACTAAGTTCTGTTTATGTACAAACTGCACTTTGGTAATTAAATGTTTATTGCATTTTTACACTGCAATTTTAACACTGCTAATGCAATTTATTTTATGCATTTGAAACTTTAAGAAATTTTTAAACTGAACTCTTGATTAAAACAGACTTGGTTTAAATACTAAGCATAAATTTATATAGCTAATTGGCCTGCAATTTTAAAAAATTGTAGACCTATAAATTCCCACCGTCGGACGTCTGTCCGATTGTCTGTTTCTCTCTCCATAATTTTCAGAACGGAGTTAGATAGATGGCCGGTACGACTCTTTTTTGAAGGAAAAGTATGACATATAAAAGCATAATACTTCCGTTTGGGTAAAAAGTATGTATTTTAAATAAAATAAATTAAAACTATGATTAAAAATCGCAGCCCGGCATCGTGACCATATTACAATAAATAATTGCTCGTTTTACTCGTATATTTTTATAAGATTTTCTTTCGATAACCCTTCTTTCATTCATAAGTCATTTAGCGATTCCTAATTACATATTATTTATAAAAATGCATTTAAGATGCGGATGAGCTAATAGTCTGACACTAACATAATCAAAACGGGCGAAAACCATTAGTAATTAATTACGCTTTATTTATAACGAATAAAATTTGAAATTAAAACAAAACCATTGTGTGTGCACAATGTAAATATTATAATTAAAATAATAATAATAATAATAAAATGAAACGACAGAAATAATCCTTTCGAACAATTCTGTGCATGTCTTAAATAATGACTCAAATCTTCGGCATTATTGGCCACTGCACATCATCGAAAAATTTGTGATTTTCGATTTTTCTTTCTGTCAGACGTTCTTCGGGATTCTGAAATGGTCAAATATAATGATAGTTAATAAGAATTGTTCCAACTTCTAGATTCAATTATCATACTTTCGTCTTTGTATACTAATATCAGAGAACTTATAATGAAGCAAACAAGTGAGGCGTGATACGTCGATGACTTTTTATATGTCTTACCAATAATTAAAATGTAATTAACTCAGTTACTGAAAACCAGAATTCAATGCGCGATTGACGTAATGAACTAATAGTGAAGTGATTCAGTAAAAAATTTTAAAATGCTTTAAAAAGTTCACATTAACCTTAAAACGTGTAAGATTGTATGCCTAAAGTTAATATAAAACGTGCAATATATCAAAATAAAACAGCAAGGCATATAAGAAATATTCAAAAAAGTTTTTTCTCGTGAAATGTATAGTACAAAAATCAGAATATTAATTACATTAAATGCATTATAAACTTACTTTCTGTAACAAATCCTGGATTATTTCTTTGGCATCCTGCGGTAGTTCAAAAGGATACGTTAACTCCACTTCTTCAGCAACTGCAGTGACATTTTTATATTAATCATCGTTTCTATTTTTTGTTAACCACTTCTAAATTGATTCTTACTTTTGATTTGTTCCGTTATCGGCAATGTCTGGAAATCTTCCAAGGTCATAAGTGTTTCCAGATAAACGTCCATTGGAGTTTTTCCAACCAAAATCTGGTATAACACAACTCCAAACGCCCACCAATCGCAGTAAGCGTCTGTAAACCATACATTGACATCACCAATAAAAGAAAGAAATAAAAAATCCTTTAAATCTAAGTAACATTTTTTACCATATTCTGTCTGTTGAAGAATTTCTGGGCATAAATAGAACAGAGTGCCGCAGAAGTCTGTTGGACTGCGTTCGGACTGAAAAATATAAAATTATAAGAAAACTACAATTGAAGAACAGTAAGAGGCGTACAGTACTTACTGTGCACAGACCAAAGTCAATCAAATATGCTTCATTCTTTTTATCTATTAAGATGTTGTTTGAGCTTATATCTCTGTGAATAATTTCTATCGGAGAGAGTAAAATAATTTGTCACACCGTGCATACGTAAGATAATTTATATGTATAAATATATATAGATAAAGTACCTTTATCGTGAATATAAATGATGGCCGACGCAAGTTGTGCACCGACCGTTTTAGCTTGGGTTTCCGATAATATTCCATTTATTTCCAAGAAGTCGGTCAAATTCTCTCCATTCACATAATCACAGACGAAACAGTGACTAAAAAACACGAATAGTTTATTACCCGAAACACATAAGATATGACCAATCAGCAATATCAAAAAACTAAAGCTTACCTGATAGCAGTTTCGAAAATACCAATAAAAGTGACAATGTGAGGATGACTGGATACGCGGCGCCAAGCAGTTCCTTCTTTGAGAATATCGAATTCCTGTAAATAAAAAAGTATAATTAATATATACGAAATACGAAATTAATATATTATGTATTAGTTGTTTATAGAAGATTTTTGAAAAGTATTAACAACATTATTATATAAATGAACTGTGTTTTTTTCACTCAGGTGTACACACTTCAAAGATAAAATAAAGTAGTACATTCTTGGATTCTACCAACCTCGTTACAGACATGTCGTTTTTACATAGAAAGAATATCGAAAACAAGGCTCAATGCATACCTGCTTTATGAAACACCCTCGTTTCTTGATGGCTTTGACAGCGATTGCTTTGTCGGAACTTTTAGACCGACCCACATAGACTGTGCCAAAAGATCCTTCACCAATTTTTTGAAATTTGTACTTCTCTTTTGTATTGTTTAGACGTTGAAGTCCAGATTGAAAATCCTCCGATTCGCACTTCTACAATTATAAAATATTTTAGTTGCAAAGTTCGTTAATTGAAAACAGGGAAAATCAAAGAAACTCGAGTGTTACCGGTGAATCGGAAGTTTCTTCTTTTACGCAACAACAGGGCAACAGTTTACAAAATATACTTTTGAAAAACTGTTTAAATCG